TTTTACGTTTTTTTTTTACCGAAGCTAACGTCGAGAACTGTAATGTTTATAGATATACTAATTAGCAAAGCAAAAATAATATTTATTTTGGAATAGAATAAAATATTTTAAATGCAAAACCTCTCCTATAACTTTTCGAATTTATTGTTGACTATCTTCATTTGAAGACAGTAAGCAATTAAGAATGTTTTGGTGATTCTCTTTGAAAAATGTCTTTTGTAAACCTTTAGTATTTCTTGATGACAATCAAAAAATAGTGATTCTGTTTGAGAAATTCTTATTCCATAAGCAAATCCTTATAGCAGCTCTAAACTTGAATCCATTGAGCACTTTTGAACTTATTCTCCTTTCTTTTTTTGAGTGTACTTAGTTGTTGTTGTTAGCTAGTTTTTTCTGCCAAGGGTACACGCTCGGCCTGCCACTTCATTTGCTACACTTTCCGCCTACCAAAATGAAGGCGACTCTAGAGGCTACTTGGAGCTGGACGGGGCGTGCGCGAAGTTGCCGTCGCAGTTGTCAGTTACTGCATTGCCGGAACGCCCCCCTCGAGGCCGGCAACCCTTTGTCTTGTAGTCTCGTTGCGGCTAAAAGTTTCAAGCGGCGCCGCCGCCATTGGCAGCCAAGCATCGATGATTGGCAATTTGTAAGTGAAATGTTTTTGGACTTAAAGACCAACCCGGCCCAGCCTTTTGGCCGGCGCTGCGTAAATGCAGCACATATTTTATGCTCGTATGAATGTCTTGGCGTTAGCTTTTTGCATTTTCCCCGAAGTGTCCGCCCGTTGTCGCCATCATCATCATCATCATTGTCGTCATCTTTGGGATTTGTGTCAGTTATGAAATGTTTTCCATGTTGCAAAATTTCCTGTTTTTTCAATATTTTTCGCACTCTTTACGCACTCACTTAGTTTAAGAGGCAGGCATGTCGCTTAGTCGCTTGGTCGCTTCGTGGATCGGTTTGTGGCTAGTCGCTGGTCAATATTAATTATAATGGATTGTGATTTTATTTTTATGCGTGCCCCAAAACCTGTTACAATGCATTCCACAACAGCAGGCTAGTTGCAAAAGGGGGAAGCAAACATTATGTGGCAGCTTGCTTTTCTTAGTATTGCTATAGACTGTTTTGCAACTAGGAAGTTGCGGATGAAATCCAAAAGTGTTGCCCAACGTTATTACACCTTGGAGTTTTAATTTAAAGCCTTTGAGGCACTGCCCGTTTTTCTCTAAGATACAGCCTTACTAATCCCAATTCAAAAAAGTTGAATGCAATCATTAATTAATAAAATATTTGCACAATGTTTTACTGATTAATAAATTATCGGCATGCGGACTTCAAAAAAGTTACTTTTTGACTAACTTGATTAGCTTTATTTAGATTTAACCGAAATGAAAATTACCCCATTTGCGCGTCAAATTTTTTGTATTGCGACTCATTTAACACGTAATTCTTTCAACTCTGCTTTCAATATTTGAGAATAAAAACTTGAATAGCTTTAATTTTACTTAAAACCGAAATTTAAAAAAAAAATTTTTATATATCGCCTCATTTGACTCGATTACCTACCTATTATTATGCAGAAACCTTGTATGATAATTTTTGTGTTTTGCTAGTTTTACAAGTATGCATTCTTTCATAAGGTTTTAAATCTCTATCCCAACTTTTCTAATTAGGATTATGAAGGAATTTTTATGTGGATTCCCATTTCCCTACCACAGCTGTTTATTTATTTCTTATTCTTGTTGTCCACATATATTTTTGACGTGTCAACTACCCCCAAACATTTTTCATGATTTTTATCTATTTACATTTTAATAATCTTGGCCATTATCATGTTGATAAATTCATGGCATCTTTCAACATACCAATATCATTAACCATCACACCGTCAACTCTGCTATGCAGCCGGTCAGAAGTTTCGCGATCTCCCCGTATGAACAGGGAGAACACCAAACTTGACCGATTCAATTTTCCTGCCAATACGGCGACCCAGTTTATTACAATCCATGTATTGCCTCAGTATTGTAGACTCTACAATGTAGAGGATCGATCTGTGCAAGTAATAGTAGTCTTGAGAAATTACTTATTGGTTATGGTTCAAAATTGTGTTGTAGAGTTCAGTAGAAAGAGTTTGAGGATAAATTTGAACGTTCCAAGCTTACTTCCAAGCTAAGGCTATATCTTTCAGTATTCCTATTAATTATACATCCTCTTTACGCTAAGTAAAACGCATTTACCACCCATTAGGTAAATGCTTTCACTAATACAGAATACTTAAGTAATTGACTAAATTCCTCTTGGTGTACACACCCCCTAAAATTCTACGAATTCCATGCTATCGAACGCACAGAAATGCCACAAATTTCAAGCCCGTCGAGCCAAAGTCAAACCGACATCCAGAACATATCGTACACACATAATTCCATCGAACCTGTCTGAACAAAACCAACAACAACAATTGTTTGCCTGCCAACATCATAATTACGTTCAACAGACGAATGCGTTCCACAAACTGCTTGGCCGGTTCCACAAACCGAATTGTACGTTTAGTTCGCGCTCAACAAACGCAGACGACGGTCATGCGAACGCGTTAAAGCGGGAAAACCCTAAAAAAATAAAAACAACAGAAAAAATTAATACTACTAAAAGAATAACCCCAAAACGACGCATTACACAAAACACCAAACAAAAGTTGATACAAAAAGAACCTCTAATGTAATTAAAAGGAAATAAACAAATCATTTTTAAAAACTTTAACTGCGCATGCGCACAACTCACGACGGACCCAGTAGCGCAATTTTCAATTAATAGTGCTGTGCTGGTGTTTGAAAATTGTTTGATCGATTTTGTTTTGAAAGCCAACAAACAGCACCTTGTTAAGGCATTTCAATGGAATATTGCCATAGTGAGGAATAATTCGACGACAACCAATTGCTCAGTGACGTAGGCCAACCATTTATGTGCCACAAAATAAAGTACAGATCTGCGTCAGAATGTGGCCAATAGACGTATGACTTGCTCTTAAAATGCTCTAAAAATATATTCATATTCTATTTTTCGTTGACAAGAAACATATGAACAATTTTAAAGTAAATGTGTTGCCGGTTTTTTGCATTTATATAGCGCTTCTATATAAATTTGTACAATAAGCCGCAACAGCACCAACAAGAACAACAACAACAACTCTTTATAATTTTTCTACCGCGCTGAAATACGCTTCGTGTCCAATGTGAAGTTGAAAATTTTCAAGCGAAAACGTTTACACCATTCTTTTTGCCTGACATTAAGTTTGAATTTGTATCGAGATTGGTGCGTGTTTCAATTTATTTTGATTAAGAGCGCAGAATAGTTAACAGCATTTCCAATTTCCATTTAAGTGGAAACAATTGGCTTCAACTGAAAAGCAAATAGAGTGCAGTACGGAGAACGCATAATAAAAAGTGAACTGCATTCTAAGTAGAGCAAAACAACAACAACAACTTCAGCAACACAAACAACAACTATATCTATATGTACTACCTGACTGACTAAGTTTGGGCCCAGCGGCTGCAAGACGTCGGCAACCAGCATAATTAGCATTAATTTGTGTGAAACGTTTGGAACAACAGCAGCACCCGCAGCAAAATGTATCTTATACAGGTGAGACAGAGCTACCGCGTTTACTTGTATGCAAGTGCAGATACATCACCAGAAATGTATCTCATAGTGCTCTTTTAATTGAGTGTTTGCTTTTACTTATCACATGCTTGAGACAATGCCAGCAGCACCAGCAGCCCCCAAGGCGGCACATGAACCGAAGAAAGATCTTCATTTAAGCGGTTTTTAATTGTTTCCACTGTGATTTCTTCCTCTCCTCTATTTCTGTTGTTGTTGTTATTTGCGCCTGCGTGCTACAATTCCATAATTTTGTATAATTTGTAGGTAATTTATCTTTCCAGTATTTGAGTTTTAAAATGTTTTGCCTAGCGGGTGATATACTAGTAGGATGAAGGAAAAGTTGTTTGGCGCGCTTTCTGGAGCAGGTGCTGGGCCTGGGGCTTAACTAATGAAGTTAAGAGGCTGGTGGAACCAGTTTTCGTGAATGAACTTTCAACTTGATCGAGAAATGTTGTAATGAAGCGGTGCATAAAAAGAAGCACCCCATTAAAGTCATTATAGATTAAAGATTATTTGGAGCTTGAGAAAATGCTAGAAATAGCTCAATGCAAGTTTATCTGTTTCATTTGTTCTTTAAGATCACCTTCGTGGTGCATAAAGTTTCAATATTTTTCATTTTATTTCATTTATTCACAAAATTTGGCACACAACTTTGTATGTTTCTATAATTAGTTAACATTAAAGAGTTCAGGTTAGGTCTTATATCTACTTAATTAGGTATAAAATGTGTTTTTTCCATGTTTGAGTGAATGGACAGTTTTTTTCAGCTTACATATAAGTGTCACTATAAATAAGAAGAAGAAAAATTGTGCTCATTCCATATTTCTGGAAGCCATTTATACATAAACGATATAAACGCATACTTCACAATTAGATTATTCAGTTGTAAAATTGATATGTATGCTATCGATTTAATGAATTATCATCCCTAATTTCATTTTTAAGTATCATCACTAGCGTCAGTTGTACTTTTGCTTGTATGAAATAGAGAGCACTTCATAAAGTATAATTTCTTAAATACGGACATAATAATAATATATACAGAAGTCGGCTTAAACAAATATTTTGTATATGTTATGGGGGCAGCATTGTCTTGTGAACCCGAAATTTATGCAGGCTTTTCTGAATTTTGATTTTTTTAATCGCACCAAAACGGGTTTATTCAAATTCTTCTACGACGTAAACTTTTGTTGCTTTCCGACTATTTCCGATATTTATTCCAATTATCATCTCTAGTGAGTAAGTCTGGCAACTCCATGCTGAGCAACTTAGGCTTTAAAACAAAACGGCACTCACTCAGTTATACTTCAAAAGTAATTTACTTCCTAAAACTCATCGTGTGTATCGAACAATTTCTTAACCCACCTCTCCAAGATGTCTGACGAAAAGGCCTCCATTGACAACAGCCAGACCGTCCGAAAATTGGTGCACGCCATGTCCGATGTCATCAATACGGGCCTCAGCTATGAGGCTCTAGATGTTTGCATGGACTTATTGGACGCTGGCGTAAGCCCCATGGCCCTAGCCAACATTGTCCGGATCATGAGTGTTGAAGTAAAAGTGCAAACAGAACTAAACAACGATAGCCAGGTATAAGAGGAAGCTACAGAGCTAGATGAGTAGATGTTGATTAAGTTCACGAATTTAATAATAAACTTCAACTGTAGATTTATTTGCCAAAAGGAAACTGAGTTTATAAAATGCCTGCGAAACTGAAAAATTTTGATTCTCGTGTTAGTTGTTGTTGTTGTTGGACAGCACCTCCTGTTGCATAGATAAATAGATCAGGAGTGTTCCAAGTTGACAATAAGTTGACAGCGCTCATATTTACTCCTCTTCTATAATTCCTTGTTTCTCCCTAAGTCGCACCAAACGCGTCTTGTGATGATCTCGGACTATGGAAAATATTCCCGTCAAAATAATGGCTAATTGCAAAAGCTTTGCTTGAAAGAAGGTCTGCACCAAAATTATTATTAAAATGTTCTAAGATCGTATGTCAGGCACCCACCTGTCTAATGTACATAGGCAGCGGTATATGGGCACGATGTGAATGGTAGTCGAGCCCACGATACAGCCAATAGCCCGGCCAGACACCCAAGCTGGCCAGCAAATAGGGGGACACAGCATCTAGAGTTTTTCCAAACTCACGGGTTTGCACCATCAGCCGGATGTCCTCACCCAAATTCGGCACAGTGGGCTCAGATATTTGCTTGGCAGGTGGGTGGCGCCCAAAAGCACTCATCGTCCATTGTTTGACAGTCTCAAAAGCATCCGTAACGCCCATGGCTCTAGAAAGTAAAGTCAACTTAGATCCAAAGGCTGAGAGTATACAAATAAATAAACTTTCGTTTGATTTGGTTATTTTGTCGCATGCTGACGACAACTTAAACAATGTTTGCTGAAACTGATTTCAATTATCAGTCTTAAGCTTAATAACCCATAGAATTATAATAAGCTACAAGTATGTCAGCAATCCGATGGGTTGATAAATGATTCGGAAAATTAATCTCATAGCTTACATTTTATGGTTTCTTACACTGTGGACTAGCATTCAAAAATATGTGTTTTTTTTTAAATCACAGGTAATTCAGAAGAGTTTCTGTATTTCCAGCAAGATGAAAGCTAAAATAATACCCGAGTTCTTCACTCATCAAGAAAGGTAGCTTGATTCGGTTTTCTGTACCCTAATAATTTGTAAGAAATAAAAAGAGCAATTCCAAAAAAAGTAATTCCAAAGAAATATAGTATTAGAGGAAAAAGTTGGGGGAATAATTCGGACTCCAAGGAATGCTCAGCATTACAAATTTCTGCAAGTATTTTTGCAATACTGCACTACTTCATGAACAGAATATTTTGATATGATATCTTGATATCTCTTTGTGTCGCTGCTGAATCTCAAAAGCGTCTGTCTTCGGGATCTTCTGGCGGTTCGCTTTTTGCACTTACTTCGTGCACGGTGAGGTTCGGTGTCGGCTTTTTCATGGTAGCCAGTAGAAGACCCGCGGTAATAATCGCCACTTGCATAAATTTTGCATGCTGGAAGGTCTGCGGGGGGTCGAGCAGGGCTTGGATTAAGGTATCATTGCAGAGGAAGAGTGCTCGGCACTTACTCTATGTATATAGGCCTCGATGCGTTCAATGCTGCGATATTGTTGCCAACTGTAGCCCCGATATAGCCAAAAGGTTGGCCAGGCGATAAAACTAACGCCCAAAAAGGGCAGCATGGTGTGCAGTTTCTGTGCAAAACCCTGCGGTCCATTTCGGTTCATAAAGTCGACGAACTGGAGCTCGTAATTCATCGCTGGCGGACGTTCCTCGAAAATGTTTGGAAATCTTTCTTTTTGTTCCAAAACTGATTCCGGTATGGCTGTGGATGCTGGCAATGGCATTTGTTTTTCCAGCCTATCGAGTACCTCCGCATTGGTGGGTGTCCGTTGTCCGTTATCCGTTGCATTATCTTCAGGCTTCGTTTTCTCCGTTGGCCCTGGCTTTTCCCCAGGTATGTCCTGAGGAATAGTCACTTGCTTTGGCTTATGATCGCCATCCTTGTCCGTGTTTCTCGGCTGCTGATTAATCAGCTGCTCCACTTCCACTGACTTCGGCTCCGCCAAGGGCACACCATTTTCATCTGTGAGCGGCTTTTCTCTAACAAATAACGTTTTGGTATATCTCAGGGCGCTTGAGATTTTACCGCGTATCGTATCCATAATGTTTGCTCAGTTAGTAGAGTTAATAAGTACAAGAGGTGTGCACAACAACCGTGTTTAGTTTTTGTTATTTTGGGGCCGAAAAAAGAAAAACTGTGAAAAATTCTAGACAAACAATTGTATGTTGATTTACATGTATATGTGTCAGTTTAAGAGGTCTCTGTCTCATCGCTTGCCTAGATTAGCGCTCATTTAACGGCCGGCTATTTATTTTGGCTTAAATGCAAGCAGCTCTATGGAATTTTCACGTCACACGCACATACACACAAAAGAACTTTCGAAACGCATTAAAAGTTCAAAGACTTGTCGCATTCATCTTTTATACATAAATTATATGGCATTATCTGGCTAGTCGGTCGCAACCCAATCCAAGTCCACACTCGCCGCCTCATTACAACGCATGAAAATTTATTTAGTTTGTATACTCTCCAAAAAAGAGGGTATTCTGTTATTGTTATTAAAGCTTCTGTTCGATGAAAGGAAGATCATTATTGGTTTATGGCACAGAGAAGAAAGCTTGATAGACCAGATGAGACCACAATATGTTACAAAGAGCTGACACTATAATTAGTAGCGAGGGATTAGTGTGTCTGTATGGAAATCTAGAACTTTTCAAATATGAAAGTAAGACACTTCTAAATTTTTAAAAGCAGTTCTAAATTTGTTTTAGACTACACTAGCTATTGAAGCTATAAACTTGTTAGTGGAACAATACTTCTAAAAAGGTGAAGACTTGTTGGATGATATGTTAAAGTATAACCCTTCCTTAAGGCAATATATTACATGTTTCCCTTTTCAAATAAAGCTCTAATAATATTTAAAATTTAAGGAGATCTTTTCCCAAAAAGTAGCATTAAAAATAAAAATGTTATAGTATAACAATATTATTTTCAATAATAAATATTAAAACGAGTACTCCTTACTTAATTATTGAATTTCTAACTATAATGAAATGATATTTTATGGTTATGGTTTTTAGGGTATAATAACAAAGAAACTGTCCGTTGAAGATTGTTTGGTAATAGTCTTGATGGACCTCATTTCTAGATTAGTTCAGCTCAGCCTAGAAAAAAATGAATAGGAATAGAAACTATGTTTGGGATTGTACTATTATTATTGTTTGTTTATGGAATATCGGCAGAAGAAAATAGCATTACAAAATAGGTACTAGCCTGATAAAATATTTAATTTGAGGAACATCTTTCTAAAGGAATGCATATTGTCTTAATACGAATATTAAAAAATCGATCATCAGTTATGAAGCATAATGATGTAGGGTATTACATAGTCCCCTACACAGCTCAGCTCTAAGTTCTAGGTTTTTTGTCGTTTCGTCTCTTTAAATGCGGGCTCTGAACGTAGCTCGTGGGGGACAAGCTTAATACTTAAGCGGCTTTCAGGCGCCCTCAGCTTGGCATTAGCTTTGATGTTTGATTTTGGGGCTACTGCGTAATGCTAACAGAAGCAATATCTGCAGGTATAGCGACAGCAACAACAACAACAACGAGCACAACAACTACAAATACAACAAACTCAATTAATGTCAAACTGTGGGTGCACTTTGGTTTGCATTTGGAGCGCTATCTCTTCGAATTAGACTCTGTCGTTTCAGCTGTTGTTATTATTGTGGTAGAGGTGGCTTTCGGTGGTGCTCTGTGGTGCGTTGTGCTGTCTCCTAAGTGGGTCAGTTTTTGAAGTGAGGCTTGCGGCTTGCTCCATGCAATTATAATGCGCATACAGGTTGCATACCGAGCCAAAACCAAAAACCATTCATTCAGAAAACCCAAATCCAAAGAGCCTTAGCCAGTTAGTCACTAAGTCAGTCGGTCTGACTGACTGACTGACTGACGGCCAGACAGTTAGTCTGTTGGCCAGTTAGTCAGCCACTAAGGCAGTTGGCCAGTCGTGCGCCTAATGTTGGCCACTTGCTGTTGCTGTTGCTGTTGCTGCTGCTTCTGTTGTTGTTATTACCGCAGGCTGATTGTCCATTGTGTGTGCCAGCGGTTGTGGTGGTTTTAACTTTTGTTTGTTGTAACGGCTTCGCACGTTCTCTGTGCCTATCTGTCTGTCTGTCTGTCTATATGTCTGCTCAGGCAGCAGGTGTCTCTTATGTGTTCTATGCGCTCGGTGGTGCACCAACAGCAACAACGAAAATGTGGCTTACCTTCGAATATGCCATGAGCAACGGTTCTATACGTATACGACTATATAGTATGTATATATGTACTATCATATGGATATTTATGTATGTTTGTGGGTAACACAAGTGTTCTGCAGTCTAGAGTAACGGCAGGAAGTGGTACACTATTAGCTGCTATCTGGAATGAGTCTCGAAACAAGTTTCTCAGAGCAGAACGCTTAATGATCAATGCATTTGATCAACTTGAAAAATATTTTAACGAACTCTTTTAGATTTTAGGCATTTTTAGCAACAAAGTGGAGATTGCAGAAATATCTATTCTAATCTAAAAAGAGCTGCTTCCCATTTGCATAACTTGAGGTATAACATTAAAATTGCGCTTTCGATTCCTGATCGTAGGTCAAAGGAACTTTTTTCTCTCATTAAAAGTATAATTTTTGTCAAGCTTTCCCAAAATGATTTCGGAATTTCCAGGTCATATTTCTACGCAAGCTTCTTCAATTGAAAATAACAAAACTTCTTAGACAATTCTGTCAGAACTACAACAATTTGGAAGGTGGCCAAAGCGCTGAGTGGTTTTAAATGAACAAGAGAAATACTATATAAGGAAATTATCTTCAGTTTGCTTACTAATGTGATGGGTCATCAAAATAATTATTTCTTTTATAAATAAAAGAATTTTTAAGTATATGTTGTATGAGGTTACATTACATTTGATATAAATATATGATATGTTTATAAAAAAGTCAAACTTCAACATTTATGGGGCTAAGAAATTATATGCCTTAAACTTCTCAAATACTTCTAATCACTTGTGCGATAATCGAAAGCATCGATTATTAAATTTTTTTTAGGAACACTGATGCCTCCATCCATCAAATTTCTACTTATGGATGCGAATTTCAATAGAGCGAGTGTACTTGTGTTCCGCAACAATAGGTCCAAACACAATCCAATAATTATTGGTGCCTTTGACTGCAAGACAACATTTTAGGTTACCAGTAACTGTTGTTTGCATTGCCTAATGGGTTAATTGCTTCTCTTGTTTCCAAGTCACATTCTCTGCTTTGACAAGCTAAAAAATTTGCCCGCGGCGCAGATTCTACAGTTGCCGGCTTAGTCAGAGCAGAAAAGTTAGTGCAGTTTATGCGTTTCGCGGAGCCCGCTAATGGGCTTTCCATTACTCGGAACGAAGAGGAAAAGCAAGCCCACACTAAAAATTCGATTTAAGCTCAATAGGCCCTTTAACTGTAAGTCGAGAGTCAGAAGATTGCACGGCCAACACAATTAACCCAATTCCAGTCGAACGCAAAAATAGAACCATAATGAATCAGAAATGGTTCGGACAATTTTGACTCGACTATGCGCGCGAATATAGCTCGGTGCTTGGAATTTTGAAAGTTGCTGTCAAAATAAATCATATCGATACAATTTCTTTTTTTTCTTCTTCTCTCTATTTGCCGAACGCCAACGTCCAACTGACAACTGACAACATTTGTGGGTTGACTTGCAATTTGGCTTGTGGCGTGGGCTGTGAGCAGCAGCAACAACAACAACAATAACAATAACAACTACTACAAAAATCTTGTCAAACATCGTGTGAAATTGCAACACTCGATGGATAGCGGCTTGATGGTCAATAGCGGCTGCATATCATTTCTACACCACTCGGCACTTAATCGGTCACAGTTTCTTGTCTTTTGGCAACACTAGTATTGTGTAATCAATTTACTTAATGCGATTTGTGTGTTGTAGTTGTTGTTGTTGTTGTTGTTGTTGTTGTTGTTGTGAAAGGCACAGACAAAAAGCCCACTTCAAGTGTCAAGTGGTTTTCTTCTTCACTCTGTGGCGGCAGGTATGCGAAACCCATGTTACTGGCATTTATGTTATTTTGTTTGTATGCCTTAAATGGCATAATGTGCTGTGAGCATTGGTCAATCAATTGAGTGTGTTCAAGGAGGTAATGACCTATATTGTCTTGTGAGGTGTCATGTAAAAGTGAATATGAAAAAAAAAAACGGTTATTGCTTCAAGTCATCGAACTTGCATACTAGTAGTTGATGAATGAATTATGAGAAATTCTATTGATCAAATGACAAGACATCTTTATTCTCCATTTAGCTAATCGTTTGCATTATTAACTTACAAGCAATATTTACCATAAGCTGTTCCCATTTCGTTAATTGTTTGAATACAATTTGAAGTGACTGCTAAAACGTAAACTTAATAATTAAGAAATGTTTCATCAGGCATGAAAGGACAGCTTAATAATTTGAAATTCGTTCGGTGATTACAACGGAGAAGTAGTTTATTTAATTTTTTTTTTGTTATTAAATTTAAATTATTTTCAGTTAAAAAATGTTATTAAAATTATTTAAACTATTTTGAAAAAACTAGCAAATAGGCCGTGCATTTCTTCACATAAAAACTGCCTAAAGACAGCAGCAGCACTTCAGCTATATGTATAGCCACATATTTTTACTATAGCCTCGCCATTTCTTCTTCTTTCCATTGCCAAAACGATCATTGGAAAATCCCAAACAAAAATGCGTCACAAAAAGAAAAGTAATTTACTGAGTAATTAATTTTTATATAATTTATTATTTTTATTCAACTTAAAGTAACTATCAAGTGAATTTGTAGCGTTTCAGAAATATTCGTATAAAAAATGTAAAGTTTTTGATATTGCTTTCCCCTCTTTGGAGTACGAATTTCTCAAAGCTGTTAAAATGTCCACTTCCTAACTCTTACCGTTTGGGCTATGCATTGATCAGTAAGTCAGAAAAACATACAAGGTGTGTTCCAAAGTAAACAGGACTTTTTGAATCTAGCGCCCCCTGGTGGCGCTATCTATATGTCGACTGGTGCGTTAGAATCTGATACCTTTATCGATTGTCCAGTGAGAATTTCATGACATATCATCCAT